ATAATATAAATATAAATATCCATTTAAACTGGGCTGTAACGTGGTGTCGTGGTTTGGCTCCAGCTGGAACCAGAACCTCTGGGAGAAGGAGCAGGTGAGGGATGCAGGGATTTTGTTCTCTGCTGTCCAGGGATGGCCACAGACCTTCTGTTCTCAGCTTCATTTCATTTGCATGATTAATTGGCCTGCACAGCCCGGAAATCCAGGTTAGCCCCATTTTGGTTTGGTTCTTTTTTTGTTCCTTGCTCCAAAAAGAAGCTGAGTGAAGCACCAGCAGCTCGGAGCTCTTCCTTGCTGGACGTGCCCTTGGACTTCAAACGGGCTCTTTTTGCTTAACAGGCAACAAATTCCCACTTTTTCATGGAGTTCCCTTCTCTGGACACGCCCCATCCTTACATTTGTGTCTGATGGATCTTCTTGTGTCACAGACTTGCCTTTATTCATTGTAAAAAATCCCATCTATATATCACAAGCAAAGGTTTCCAAAACTTTTCCCGCTTGGAAGTTTTCCCCTCGTGATTTTGGGCAGAAGAACTCGAAGCATCTGCACAGATGCTCCTACAATTACATCCCAATCCCCAGCCCATGCAGTGACTCACCACAGATGTTTGACCTCAGCCACAAATACAACAGAGGTCGGGAGATTCCTCTGAATTACTTCCTGTGCAAAGTAGAAAATACCAACAAAAAAACCCAGGTATTGCCTGAGAAGCTTTGAGGTTTGCAGTTAAAGAGCTTGTCCCAGCCCTGGGAGCTGCTCTGGGGCTCTCCTGCCCCTCCCTCCCTGCAGCTCCTGCTCCCTGGATCTCCTTCTGCCTCCACTTGCTCGCTGTGGTTTGGTTTTATTAGGAATAAATCGGATTTATGTGCAGGCTGCCATCAAACCACCACATAATTGGCTGTTAAAGAGGAGGTTTGGGATTACGACTCTCTCTCGGTGAAAAGGACGTTTTCCAGCCTTTGGCTGTTCCTGTGCCTCTTCCCTGGAGCATCCCTGAAGCTTTGCAGCCTCCCTCTGGAGCCACAGCCCCCGGGATGGAGTGGAATTCCAGCAGGATGAAGCCTGTTTGTGTCCCTGGTTTGTTAATTCTGTGGAAAAGGGCGATTCCACCCTCCCCCCTCTCTGCTGGGAGTTTTGTTTTTCGTTATCATTCTCAGCTCTCACACTCTTCAACACCTTTGCCTTTCCTTTCCTTGGCCTGCCCTGGTGCCTCCCGTGGCACAGACTTATTGATCCTGCATCTGCCCCCTCAGGCACCCTGGAGAGGGGGAAGGCAGCAGGAGATGGTTATTTAGATTTGAATAATAAATAAAGGGCCTCGGTTATGAGCTTGGTTATATAACACACACTGCACAAAAGGAGCTGTTCCTTCATTTCCACCTCCTTGCTGATGGTTTCTGAGTACTTGGGGGATGAGAGTTCATCCAGCAAATAACAGGAAGAGAATTTTTTCCCCTTAAATAGTGCATGGAATTTGTTCAGGAGGGAGAACATTGGACAGAAAGTGCTGGGTGCTGTCAAGTGTGTGCTGTGACCTCCTCCTGTCGGGGCTGATGAGCCTCAGAGCACGTGGGGACCCAACCTGAGCGACTCCCACGGGTGTTCCAGGGAGCTGGGGAGCTCCTCAGGCAAGGGGAGCAGAGCAGCAGGGGAAGGGCTTGGGTTGTGGGGTTAGGTTTGGGGATTGTGGAGAGATTCCTGGCTGGGAGGAGTGGGGAGTCCCAGAGAAGCTGTGGCTGCCCCTGGATCCCTGGGAGTGTCCCAGGCCAGGTTGGACAGGGCTTGGAGCACCCTGGGCTGTGGGAGGTGTGGGATGGGAATCCTTCCTGCCTTCCAAGAGTCTGGCCACGTCTGAACTGCTCACTGGGAGCCATTCCTGGCTCCTGCTCACTCCCAGACTCCTCCCAGGAACTGTTTGGGAAAGGGCTGTGTAGCAGGGCCCAGAACTGCCCTGGGGTTTGCTGACCATCACTCCTGCCTGGACAGTTGTGATTTCTGGGGAGGTTCTCGAGGCAGAAAAATCCCCCCTCAGCAGCTGGTTCCAGAATACTTTGCGTTTAAATATTCATTTAAATATTTAAAAATCAATTTAAATATTTTTATATATTTTAAAGGGTTGGTGGTTTTTTTTTTCCCACAACTCCCGGGAGCGTCTCAGAAGGGGGATTTTAAACTGGGAGTTTTGGTAGGATGGGGTTGAGCTGCACTGCAGGGCCACAGGAGCAGATGTGACAGAGCAGATGTGACACAGAGCAGATCCCACTGCTCTAGTGCTGCTGTGGATCCTGGCTCCATGAATAATTCAGGTTCTCATCCTCCTCTCGTGATCAAGGCGATGGCTCTGTCCTGGTTGTACCAGCAAACACGGCCCCAGCCTGACAGGTGTTTTCAGGAGATATTCCCTAAAAATAGAGGAATGGCCTCAAGAAATTCTGGGGCCTGGGAAAGGCTTTATTGGGCTTGGGGAGAACATGGAATCACAGAATCACTGAGGTTGGAAAAGACCTCCGGGATCACCAAGCCCAAACTTTGACCAGTCTCCACCTTGAAATCCTTTAACAAGCTCTTCCTAATTTTGTCCTTTGCCTTTATCACTGTTAGCAAGGATTGAGCTGGAAAATTTGGGATGCTGGTAGTTACAGAACTGGGGGGGAACAGGTGGAAATGTCCCACAGTGCTGCTAAAACCAGATTGCAGATGGTGAGTTGCATCCACTGCCTTATTAGAAGAGTCCTACAAAATACTGAGGAGGTGTTTGTGTGTTTGGGGAAATCCTGTGCCCCTCCCAAAGGAAAATCCCGGCCAACATCCATGGAAATGTGGCTGGAAAACACAGTTTTGTTTGCAAAAGCTGCTGCTGGTGGGAGGTGTTTCTGTCAGAGAGCTGCACGGAGGGGGGTTGTGGTGTGTGTGGGGCAGGAGGATGCAGGGCTGGGAAGGGAATGTTTGGGAGAACAGGAGGATGCAGGGCTGGGAAGGGAATGTTTGGGAGAACAGGGGGGTTTGTGGTGTGTGTGGGGCAGGATACAAGGCTGGGAAGGGAATGTTTGGGAGAACAGGAGGATACAAGGCTGGGAAGGGAATTTTTGGGAGAACAGGAGGATGCAGGGCTGGGAAGGGAATGTTTGGGAGAACAGGGGGGTTTGTGGTGGGTGTGGGGCAGGAGGATGCAGTGCTGGGAAGGGAATGTTTGGGAGAACAGGAGGATGCAGGGCTGGGAAGGGGATTTTTGGGAGAACAGGAGGATGCAGGGCTGGGAAGGGAATGTTTGGGAGAACAGGGGGGTTTGTGGTGGGTGTGGGGCAGGAGGATGCAGGGCTGGGAAGGGGATTTTTGGGAGAACAGGGGGGTTTGTGGTGGGTGTGGGTGGGACATTCCCGGTGCTCGGTCGAGGGGAAGTAACTCGGGAGCTGAGGAGGGAGGGAGAGCCCCGCTAATTAACTGCTCGTTGCCATGGATGTGTTTGCCCGGGCACCGGCACAATAAAGGGCTCCCAAACCCCCCCGGGGGGCACGTCCCAGCTCTCCAGCTCGGGATCATCCCGTTCCTGCTTCCCTGGGTACAGCAGGAATTTCCTTTTCCAAAGGAAGGGTCTCACAACCAGATCCCTTCCCGCTGAAATGTTGTGTTTGGAGGCACATGAACATAAACATAAATTATTTCTGGGCAGTCAGTCAGAGCCAGGGTGAGAAGGGAAGTGGTTTTCCCTCCACTCCTGCCTGGAGAAGGAGGCAGGAATTCATGCAGGGAGTGTGTCCTCTGTGATTTCAGGTGTTTGACATCCAGGGGATTTTTTTCAGTGGTGGTTTGATTCCCTGGATTACTGGGCTCTGAAAATGAAATAAGCTGGGGAGCCTTAGGGCAGTTCCTGGAGTTTGCACACCCAGAAGGGGAGCAGGATGAGGGTGCTGAGCAGGGAGTGCCAGGGGAGGCACAGGCTGCAAACAGGTCAAGCTCCCCCTGTGCCCTCGTGCTGCAGGACACTGGAGCATCCCTGGGAATGCATTTCAGGGGGAGCTGCAGGGAATCTGAGTGCAAAGGTGATGGCAAATACACACCTGTGGGGATTGTAATCCGTGTTCCAGGAGAGCTGGAGAGGGACTGGGGACAGGACACTGGGAATGGCTTCCCACTGCCAGAGGGCAGGGATGGATGGGATATTAGGAGGGAATTGTTGGCTGGGAGGGTGGGGAGGCCCTGGCACAGGCTGCCCAGAGAAGCTGTGGCTGCCCCTGGATCCCTGGAAGTGTCCAAGGCCAGGTTGGGCAGGGTTTGGGGCAACCTGGGCTGGTGGGAGGTGTCCCTGCCCACGGCAGGGGTGGCACTGGATGGGCTTCAAGCCTCATTTCAGAGGTTGGTGGATGTCTTTGGGTGTCCCTGGAGGGTAAATGTGGGCAAATATTGATTCCATGGCTGGGGCTGCTGGAGTTCTCCTCTCCCAGCAGCTCAGATCCAGGGGCAGAGCTGTCCAGGACGTTCCCTTTGGCTCCCCTGCACACAACCAGCACCCAGGAGGCCTCAGCACCCTGGCACTGGGAAACTCTCAGGGTTTAAGGATGCAAATAAGTGGCTCATCAGTCCATGGCTGGGTTTCATGGGACAGGGAGGAACAGGAGGCTCTATCCATTTGTTTATCCCAACCCACTTGATCCTGTTAAACTGAACCCCAGGCAGGTGGTGTGTGTGGTGGTTGGATCAGTGAGTGCTGCTTGTAGTAAATCTTTCCTTCAGTTCTTCAAACACTTGAGAGAACTGCCCTAATTCAAATGGCTCCTGCATTTGCTTGAACTACTCAGCAGTGCCAAAGGTGAGTTGTGCAGTCAGAAATGTTGATTTTGTCTCCCTTTTAGGATGACACAGGGATTGTGAAAAGCACCAGAGCAGGCCAAGCTCTTCAGGTGCCACTGGCTGAAGCAATTCCTGCTGCTGCCCTCGGCCTGGCACTGTCACAGGGCACAGGGAAGGGCTTTTCCCAAGGGATGGGGTGTCTCCATTTCATTTTTGAAATCACTAACAGGCACAAACGTTTCCCTTGCAGCCCTGCCCGGCCCGTGAGTAACATGAACGAGGCCATGGTGACCCACGTGTCCTCTGGAGCTCCCACACCCACCAAGAGGTACCTCTGCAGCTGGGGGGGGTTCTGTGGGCAGGGGTGGGGGACAGAGTGTTCCATCCCTTCTGACCCATCCAGGGGTGGGGGACAGAGTGTTCCATCCCTTCTGACCCATCCAGGGATGGGGGACAGAGTGTTCCATCCCTCCTCACTGGGATACAGAGTGTTCCATCCCTTCTGATCCATCCAGGGATGGGGTACAGAGTGTTTCATCCCTTCTGATCTATCCAGGAATGGGGTACAGAGTGTTCCATCCCTTCTGATCCATCCAGGGATGGGATACAGAGTGTTCCATCCCTCCTCACCCATCCAGGGATGGGATACAGAGTGTTTCATCCTTTCTGATCCATCCAGGGATGGGATACAGAGTGTTCCATCCCTCCTCACCCATCCCAGAGCACTCCAGGACAGGTGTGGGGCAGCCTGGAGAGCAGGAATGCTCTGCAGGGATCTCTCTGTTCTCTCCAGAGGGGTTTTCATTCACTGAGTCCCTGTTGTTACACGGGTCTGGCTGGGGAAACACAGCAACAGCATTAAAGAGGTTTTTGTCTTCCTTTTTAAGTGGGCCATGACTTTCCCAGCTGGGAAGGGCTGGTCTTGCTGTGTCATTGGGCTGCTCCTCCTGCCCAGGGTGATTCTGTTCTGCTGGGAACATCTCCCATGGTGGTGGCCCCACGTTCTCCACCCCACACACAGCTCAGCCCCCAGAGCTCCCCAGAGCTCCCCACATCTACCAGGGTCGAGCTGAGTTTGGGGTTGTGTTTGCTTGGTGATATTTCTGTAAATTACTGTGTGGAGGGGGGTCTGTGAAGGAGCACAAAGCTCCCTGAATGGTGTGTTTTGCACTTTCCTGCCTCGTGAGGGGAGGGCAGGGAGGTGGAGGCTGTGCTTGGCAAAGCTGTGAATGGGTGGATGCTCCTGCAGGGAATGAGGAGCTGAACTGGCACTGTGTCAGTGGCAAGGGCTGCTCCAGAGGCAAAGCAGAGCTGCATTTCCAGCAGGCAGAACCAAGATCCATGGACTTTCCTTCTGCTTTCCTTGACAAAACGAGTCAGTCATGTCTGGGGGTTCTCTGTGCCTGTGTTAAAATTATTCCCAAAATCTACCTGTAGATCATTCCCTGGGGTGTCTGCCAGCCCTGCCAGGTGTGCAGTCACTGTGTGACCTCAGATGTGGGCGTGGGGAGTCCCCATCACTTCCCAGGTGCAGCTGGACAAGTGTCAGATAACCTTTCCTGGGATCCTTTCCCATCAAAGGTGGGACCAGACAAGTTTGGGATTCAGGAGGAATTTCCTGCTGGAAAGGGTGGTCAGGCACTGGCAGGGGCTGCCCAGGGAGGTTTGGAGTGCCCAGCCCTGGAGGTGTCCCAGGAAGGCCTGGCCGTGGCACTCGGTGACAAGGTGGGGATGGGGCACAGGGGGGATCCATGGGCTGGGAGGGCTTTGCCAACCCCAGTGATCCTGGGATGCTGTGAAACTCTCCTTTTGCTGACTGAGGCTGGGAGAGCAGGCAGTCCCCAAATCCAGGGCTTTGCACATTGCCATGGGCAGCAGCATAACCCCATTTATTGGGGTGCAGACACCCCCCTGGGCTGGGGCTCTGCAGAGCCTCTCTCTGGGGTCCCTTTGATGTGGTGCAGACAAGAGTCACCTCCAGCTCTGGGCCAGGGGAGCTCCTGCCCTGGGGACACGTGTCCTCTGTGCACACGAGCTCCAGATGTTTCCTGAAGAGCAACATCTGCCAGGTTCTCCTGCAGCCTCCTCCTCCTCCCTGGCTGGAATGGTCCCCCCTCTGTCCCCTCTGATGGGCAGTGACAGTCCAGCTGGGCATCAGTCACCCTCTCCCTTAGTTTCTCCCTCGTGGTTTAACCTTTTTTCCCCATTTTCCTGTCCAGCCCGGGTGATTCTCCCTTTCCAGAATCCCTGCATTCCACAGTCCTGGAGCCCCTCTCGGTGCCTGGGGGTGACCCTAGGCCCTCCTGTCCTGCTCTGGCTCACCAGCCTCTCACCTCTGTCCAGCACAGGATGAGTTTCATGGAATAATTTGTTCCCAGGAGCCATCCTTGCTCTGCTTCCTTCCCTTCCAGGGCTTCTCTCTCATCCTGTGCCTGCTGTGTCTGTACCAGTCCTGCCTGAGCTGGAAGGGGAGCCCCCAGGAACAAACACCTCCTTACCAAAGAGCAAAGGAGAGGGTTCCAGTGCTGGCTTTGTGCCAAGCAGCAGCATTGGTGCTGAAAAGTGCATTTTACCCAAGGAAAACGGGGCTTAAACCTTTCCTTTCATGTCAACACCCCCAGAAACTCCGTCCAGATGCACCTCTCACACCCTCCTCTGCCAGCTGTGCTGCTGTGCCTCCTGGGCAGGGCCTTGCCCACCCTTTTCCCTCTTAGTTTGAGAAGGGAGAGTGATTCCTGGGAGTCAGTTCTCGTTTGCTAACTCAGGCCTCTTTCCTCTGTAGGGGGGAGCTGAGTGTGAGCATCAAAAAGCCTGGATGGTAAAAAAAATGGGCTCCTTCAGCCCCTGGGGCTGATCCTGGGCCACAGCCACTGCCCAGGGAGGCCCCAGGGAACTGCAGGAGCTGGAACTGTGAAACCCCCACGGATGAACAGAGGTGACTGCTCCTTTCAGAGCACTCAGCTCTTCTGTCTTTGATAAATAACCCTTCCCCCAGTGACCAAAGGCAGGAACTCGGGATGGAGACCTTTGCAGCACCATACCCTGTACAGATCCCATCCCCACAAAGGCTTGGACCTTGGAATAAACATGGAATAAACATGGAATAAACATGGAATGAACATGGAATAAACATGGAATAAACATGGAATGAACAGCAAAGGAGCGACCTGGCACTGCAAGAGGATTGTGGTGTCATCCTTGGCCTGCAGTTTGCTCTTCCCAGGAGGTGAGACCATTCCAGAGGTCTGGAATGGCACCAGGCCAGGCCAGAGCCAAGCTTTAGAGAGCCAGAACAGGTCTGAGTTTGAGGCTCAGGAGAGCCCTGGGGTCGGTGTCACCCTCTGTGTCACTGCTCCCATCTCAGCACCTCCCTCTCCCCAGGGCCCCCCTCACCCCTCTGCAAGGATCCCAGGCTGCTGGGATGGAGGTTTGCTTCCTCTGGCAGGTTCTGCAGGAGTTCATGGCAGGAGGCTCCTTCTCCCTGTTCCTGCTCATCCCAAGGAATGTGGGAACACTGCAAAATTCATTAAAGGAGGCTGAGACAGCTGGGGAAATGTGGTGCTAAAGGAGCATCATCTGTTCAGTTTATTA